CCCAGCTAATTTTTGTATTTTTAGTAGAGATGGGGTTTCACCATGTTGGGCAGGCTGGTCTTGAACTCCTGACCTCAAGTGATCTGCCCACCTCGGCCTCCCAAAGTGCTGGGATTGCAGGTGCCCGCCACCACACCCAGCTAATTTTTGCATTTTTAGTAGAGATGGGGTTTCACCATGTTGGCCAGGCTGATCTTGAACTCCTGACCTCAAGTGATCCGCCCACCTTGGCCTCCCGAAGTGCTGGGATTATAGGCATGAGGCACCACACCTGGCCAGTGAGTGTCTGTGTTTGAATGAATGAATGCAGAGGGACGAAATGGTTGCAACAGTCTAGGCAAGTGAGTCTAAAAGGAAGCCTTGGCCGGGCGCCGTGGCTCACACCTGTAATCCCAGCACTTTGGGAGGCTGAGGCATGTGGATTGCCTGAGCTCAGTAGACCAGCCTGGGAAACATGGTGAAACCCTGTCTCTACTAAAAAATACAAAAAATTAGCTGGGCGTGCTGGCGCACACCTGTAATCCCAGCAGCTCAGGAGGCTGAGTCAGGAGAATCACTTGAGCCTGGGAAGCGGAGGTTGCAGTGAGCTGAGATCACGCCACTGCACTCCAGCCTGGGTGATAGAGTGAGACCCTGTCTCAAAAAAATTTTAATTTAATTTAATTTAAATTTAAATATATAAAAGGAAGCCTTGAGGGAGACCCAAAATTTCCTCAGTGGCCCTTCAAGTGTGAGGGGGGCCTGGTCACCTGGGGCGGCAGAAAGTGGATTCCACCGAAGATCATTCCATTTGAATAATGAACAAACTGAGGTTCAGGGTGAACCCCAGTTGCTCAAAGGCTCACATTCCTGAGCCAGGGGAAATGGGCTCGTTGTCTTGGGGGACTTTCTCCCTGGATGCTGGGAGGCTCCAGGGTTTTTATCTGAAGTCAGAGTCTCATAACCCCTTATCAGGGGTGGGGAATGACCATGCCGGGCTGGGACTGCCCTTACATAACCCCAAGGGGCTCCTGCTCTGGGTCGTTTGCTTTGGGTTCCCCTGACTCACCATGTGGCCCTGGACTGAGACCTTCTCCTCTCTGAGTCGCAGTTTCCTCATGTGTAACATGGGACACAGCCAGGCACAATGGCATGTGCCTGTAGTCCCAGCTATTGGAAGCTGAGGCAAGAGGATCAGTTGAGGCCAGGAGTTCGAGATGAGCCTGGGCAACATAGTGACACCCCATCTCTAAAAAGAAAGAAAGAGAGAGGAAGAGAAGGAAGGAAGGGAAGGAGGGAAGGAGGGAGGGAGGGAGGGAGGGAGGGAAAGAAAAAAGAAAGAAAGAAAGAAAGAAAGA